TAAAATAAGGTTTGTAGGATTGTGCAGAAGGAGTCCAGGTGCCCAATGGTTAAATGCTCAACTACTAATTGAAAAGTCAGCAGGTTAAACTCACCATCAGCTCTGAGGAGAAAAGACCTGGTGATCTGCTCTCATAAAAAATTACAGCCTATCCCAGGTGTGTAGTAGAGCTGACAAGGGACAAAGTTATAGTCACTTCTTGGGTACAGTTCAGAGGGAACAAGTAGTTGAACCTGTGGGCTCGGGACCATAGTCTCAGGAGACATCAAGGTCCATTGGCAAAACACACTACACAAAACATTGTTCCACCTCCTACTTTGGTGAGTAGCGACTGGGCTCTGCTCTTAAAAGCTTACAAGCTGCCATCTAGATGCAACGATGGGTCTCTCCTCGTCCAGAGCAAAGAAGAATGAAGAAAACCAAAGATTCATGGAAACAGTCCAAGCAACTGGTGCACCTGCAGTCCTCAGCCTATATGACTATGAGACCAGAAGAAATAGATGGTGCCTGGCCACCACTGTCAACTACTTAGAGGAGGATCTGTCTAGGAGATCCTGGATAGAATGGGAGAACAATGTGGAACAAAACCCAAAGTTATTTGAGACCAGGTTTGCTGGTCTGATAGAGTCTGGTAGAAACAATGAGACTATGGCCCTTAGCTGCCCTTTAGGTTTGGAATGGAACCCACTCCTGTGGCTTCCAGCCAGACAAAAGACAAGCATGTGAGGTGAACATTTGCACTAGGTAGATAACACTCCTTGGAGAGAACAATCATGGAAGAATAGAAGGGTTGTGTATGCACAAGGACAAAACTCAGGGGGCAGGAGTGCATGGAGGGAAGGACACAGGAAAGAAGTAACTATAGGGAGGCAGTGGAAGGGGAGCTGTTGCATTGTGGTAAATTGTACTCAATGTCATGGGACAAAGTGTATGTGAACTGCTGTTTGGAAAGTGAATTTGCTCTGTAACCTTTCACCCAAATCACAATTTAAAAAAAAAAAAAAGATTACAGCTTGGGAAACATGGTTCTACTCTGTGGCTCTGCCCTTTAGGGATGCTAAGAGTTGGGATCAACCTGATGACATACAACAATAACAACAGGATTGTGCAGAGGAGAAATAAGGTCAGTTTTGGAAAGATCAGGTCTGAAATGTTTGCATTTAAATGTATATATCTGGTGCTCAGGTAGGAGAAGAGAACAAGATAAAAGATAAAAATTTGGTAGCATATTTAATTAGTATTTTAAAATAGTGGAGTACTTGAGAGTACCCCAGCATAGTGTGCAGAGCAAAAGAAGAGGGTTAAAGACAACATATTAAAGGTAGTGGGAGGAAAGAAGATGTTTGTAGCTTGGAGGAGTGGGGACAACTCCCTCAGGTTGAGAATCACTGGGTTAGAGAAATGAAGAGGATGTTGCACTGTGACAAGAGTCATGAATTAAAAACAAGAATAGGAAAGTTTTAGGAAGGCCATAGTAGAGAGAAGGAGGGTTCACTTGAAAATGGTGTCATACCATGGAGAGGTCTAAGAGGATGAAGTTTAGAAAGAGACCAGTATTTAATGATTAAATTCAAAAGAAATTAGAACTATGTACAAAGGGTATGTTTAAGAATGTACATTGCTTTTTTAATAATAGCAAATAATGAAAATAAACCAAATATCCAACACTAAAAATAATGTTGTAGAATAAACTTAAATGCCATGGAGAAATATTTATGACATTAATTGAAAAAGTCAGGTTGCACATCAAATGTAGGTGTGACAGGTCAACATGCTTAAAGCATTCACTAAAATCTTCTCTGGAGCATAAGATTACAGGTAATCTCAGTTTTCTTCTTTGTGCTTTATTGTATTTTCCAAACTTTTATAATGAACATTCTGCTAATTAATTAATTAATTAATTAAATATATGTTGTTGTTGCTGTTGTTATTTGCCATCGAGTTGGACCTGACTCATAGCGACCCCTCCTTGGGTTTCCGAGGCAGTATCACTATGGAAGTAGATTGCCCAACCTTCCTTCCAAAAATAAATAAAAATATATATGTGTATGTATGTATATATATATATATATAATTAGGGTACATAAAACTTATTGTCTAGCCATTAAAATGCTTTAGGACAATATTTCATATGGGAAAATACTAATAATATAATTGAAAAGGCAAGACAAACTATTTCATATGGCTCATATTTTAAATTAAAAAATATATAGTACAGCTATGAAAAAAATAAAGAAACCTGCTAAATGTTAAAATAATTATTCCTGAGATGGAAAATTTATATTTATTTATATGTATCTTTTTCTAAATCTTCCATAATTACATGGGGTAGTGGTTAGGAGTAAAGTCTGTGAAGCCAAAGTGCTTGAGTTTGAATCATGTCTCTACCCTGTGGGACCTTGAGTGAATTACTTAACTTCTCTGTGCCTTGGTTTCTCCATGTAAAATAGAGGTAATGTTAACAACTACTGCCTTAATTTGTTGTAGCATTTCTAAGGCTGTAAATCTTTATGGAAGCAAACTGCCAGATTTTCCTGCAGAATGGCTAGTAGGTTCAAACTGCCAACCTTTTGGTGAGTGGCAGAATACTTAACCACTGTTCCACCAGGGGTTCTTCAGTGTTGCTACTGAAAAAAAAAAAAAAAAAACCCTCAACTTCCATTGAGTCAGTTCCAACTTGTAGCAACCCCCACTGAAGATTTTCAAGGCTTTCTATCTTTATAGAAATAATTTGCCTCATCTTCCTCCTGCGGAGCAGCTGGTAGGTTTGAACCACTGACCTACTTAGCAACCAAATGCCTTGCCAAGTGTACCACCAGAGCTCCTTAATATTGCTGCTGTTGCTTTTATAATCAGAAAAATGAACTTTTTTTAAAAAAAAATAACTATCTCAGAGGTAGTCTGATAAACAGCAGTTGCAGACGTTGCTTGTATAGAAGCTGAATTGCAGTGGTTTGAACAAGAGATAAGAAAATGTTGTTACTGTTATTGGATGCTGTCTAGTTGGTTCCAACTCATGTACAACAGAACAAAACAGAGCCCAGTCCTATGCCATTCTCAGAATCGTTGCTATGTTTGAACCCATTGTTGCAGCCACTGTGTCAATCCGTCTCGTTGAGGGTCTTCCTCTTTGTCACTAACTCTCTACCAAGCATGATGTCCAGAAACTAATCTCTCCTGATAACTTGTCCAAAGTACAAAGTACTTAATGCAGCTTATATGGAAGCACTTTTTTTCTTGAGAGATTTTTCCTTTGTGTGCACATATATGGGTTTATTTTACTAGATATAATTTTGAGTTTCTAATGTATGCTTTGACTTAATGTTTAAAGCTAAGTTAAAGAGGCAGAGAAAACAAGTTTGTCAGTGTGATAAGTGGAACTTTATTAAAGTGATCTGAATACTTTGGCGCTTAGTAGTTCATCTTTGCTATCTTCAACTTTCTTAAAGGAATACTGGATTTACAAAGATAGCAATCAAAATATGGTAATAATAAAAATACTGTAATAATTTGATTTAAGTTTTATTGACTCTTGTTGTTATGGGAGATTGAGTCGGACGTTGGACCCAACTCATAGCAACCTCTCCTTGGGTTTCCGAGGCAGTATCACTACTGCTAGATTGCCCCATCTTCCTTCCGAAGAGTGGCTGGTGGGTTTGAACTGCCAGCCTTCTGGTTAGCAGTCAAGTGCCTTAGGCTCTACGTTACCAGAGCTCCCTTATTGACTCTAATGAAAATTTAACATCAGAACATTGCTTTTTTTTTTTTTTTTTTTGCTGTGGTATTTCCTTTTCTTCTTAAGTGGTTCTTTTTTTTAAAAAAAAAAAAATTATAGTGAGCAAATTCATTTTTCACGCAGTGGTTCATACACATTTTGTTTTATGACATTGACTGCAATTCCCCACAATGTAACAGCTCTCTTCCCACCTCCTCCCTGTAGTTACCTCTTCCCTGTGTCCTCCTTTCCTATGCATTCCTGCCCCCTGACCTATCTCCTTGTGCAAATATTGCCCTTCTGTTCTCCCATGGTTGATCATTCTAAAGAGTGTATCTACCTGGTGTAAATGTTCACCATAAATACCTGTCTCTTGTGTGGCTGCAAGCCACAGGAGTGAGTTCAATTCCAGGCCTGAAGTGTAATTAGGGACCATGGTGTTGGGTTTTACCAGGCCCCATCAGACCAATAAGCCTAGTCTTTTTTATGATTTTGAGTTTTGTTCCACATTTTTCTCCCATTCTAACAAGGATCTCCTACACTGATCCCTTTCTGAGTGGTTTACAGTGGTAAGTGGGTACCATCTAGTTCTTCTGGTCTCAGGGTCATGTAGGCTGAGGTTCACATGGTCTACTATTCCCTTGGACTAATTGTTCCCATGCCTCTTTGGTTTACTTCGTTCTTCTTTACTCTGAATGAGGAGAGACCAGTTGTTGCATCTAAATGGCCACTTGTAAGCTTTTAAGACCCCAGTCACTACTCACCAAAATAGGATGTAGAACACTGTTTTCGTGTGGTGTGTTATGCCAACTGAGCTTGATGTCCCCTGTGACCATGGTCCTGGGCTCAAAGGCCCAACTACTTGCTCCCTCAGGGTTGTTGGCTGTGGCAAAGAAGTTATCATAACTTTGCCTGCTGTTAGTTCTATTTATATGGACATTCTTAACAGCATATGCAGGTACATATGTACAAGTATCATGTATATATATTCATGGATGTATACCTTTTTACCAAGACATACCTGATCATTCAGCCTGTCTACCCATCTGTTTACCTGTATGTTAATGTTTGTTATCACTGATAATGTAGTATTGAATGTGTAAAAGTGTTTACCTTTGTTGTCCGTACTTCTTGTGTACCTCTCTGTCCAGAACACTGTTCTTGTTCATATATTGCAAAATAAAAATTTCAGCAAAAATGTAATCTTGCTAATGTGGTCTCTAATGTGTCTGAATTTATTTTGCAATATGTGCTCATTATTTTCTCTCATTTGCCTCATCCACAGAAGGAGCACAAAAAGTGGGATGAGTTTGAAGATATTTTGGAGGAGAGAAGGCATGGCAGTGACCTGAAATTTGCAATGAAATGCTACACACCTCTTGTCTATAAGGGAATTATTCCTTGCAAACCAAGTGATATTAAACATAGTGTTCTCAATTCTGAAGAGATTCATTATATCATTAAACAGGTAAGTGATTCCCCACTTAACAGATTTGTTCATTGTCAACAACTTCTTTTTCCTTGATTCTATGGCTATATTTTACCTTTTGTTACCTTTAGTGTAACTTGTAAAATTTAGCTATATTCAGGACATTAACCAAATATTTATTGTACTCATAATGTATTAGCCTTTTTGCCAGCTACTCAGGGTATAACAGTGAGTAAGCAATTTCAACACAGTATCTGACCTCTTAAGTTTAGAATGTAGTAGGGAATGATGACAGTTGCATGATCAGTTAGATAACATGATAGGAGACATGTTAGTGGGATGCCAACAGGCAATGGTACTAATTATTTAAAGGGGCATCTAATTTGGTATAGCCAGTCAGGAAAGTGATTTTTTCTTTTAATGAGACCTGAAAAATGATTAGGGATTCTCTAGGTGAAGTAGGTGAAGAAAAGTGTTCTGAGGACAGGAAATAATTCCAATGATTTTCAAACTTTGTTGCAATCAGGGAGCTTTTAGAGTTACCCAGGGAGCTTTTAAAAATCCCTATGCCTGGGTTCCAGCAAGATGGCGGACTAGGCAGAAAGACTGCACAGACCCTCTTCAACAAAGAAAAGGGAAACCAATTAACACAGACACAGAAGATAATCTTGGACCCCTGAGCTTTGAAGAGAAGGATACAGAAGTGGACTACACCCCAACTAGCAGAAGAATTTGCATGAAAATACCAAAAAAGGAGACATACGGAGCTGCAGTCTGGCAGCGGTCTTGAGTGATCCTAACGGCACAGACAGCTTGGAGATTCCCGAGTAGTGGTAGGACTTAAGAATTAACCTAAAAATCATCCTGCTAGCCAGGGACTGCACGGAGGACTGTGCATGGTGGTTGGGGAACAAAAGGAGAAGGTGAAGAGAAAGGTGGGCTGAGCTGTGGACTTTTGCCAGTCCAGAGAGCACTGCCATTTTGAAGGTTTAAAAAGCATCTTAACTATTTTGGATATTTAAAGAGACAGCGCTCTCACAGATTCCTGGGGCTTAAGAACACATTCTGCTTTCCAGCAACCCCAAGGACACTCGGGACCTGCAAGACTGACGAG